TGTGTTGATTACCTCCCATTTGCTACAAGTAATTGAAGGATACAGGGAAAGCAAAGACAAGTATTGTAACGGTGTTTACTTTGGTCAGTTTTATAAGTGACTGTTTATAACTGTTGAAGGGAGAGGGAAAACTTATGAAAGGGTGTAGTCTAAGTCAGCTGTGGTTACTAAGGTGAGTCACAAAGAAGTTAATCAGACAGGTGGTCATTGGGAGCAGAAGAAATGACATAGGAAAAGAGAGGCAGAGTGGGGGACCTTCATGTCTCCTTCAGAAGCTCCCAGGACTAGGAATTAGGGTGTGAGTAGCTGCAGTGGTGGCCAGAAGGCAGGGCCTGTAGGCCTCCATACAGAGTACTGTTCGGAGCCTATGTCCAGAACTCTGTAGGTGGTGTTAATGGTTATGCCACAGACTTTAACCAGAAAGGTACAATCAGATTGATGTTTCAGGAAAATTGCTAAGGAAGTGGTACATAGAGCTAGAACACCAAAAGTGAAATTGGAAGCAATCATAATTGTTCAGGTAAGAAATGATGAAGAGCCTTCCTAAGACATTGGAAGTAGGCCTGGGAATTTGTGAATGTAGGAAGTACAAAGCTGTACTTTATAATGGTGACAAAGCTAGGCTTTACAATGTATTGGAAGGTGGGTGAAGAACAGGTAAAAAGCCAGAAGGCCTCCCAAATTTGTGGCTGCTGACCAGGTAAGCCCTGTACCAAGACAATGGAAATTTGGTTTTAAAATGATTTGGAGAGCAGGAAAATGAGCCTGATTTTTCACTTTTTCTATCCATGTGTGGTAGGAATCCTAATAGAGCTATTAGGGAAAGTGTGGCATATGTGTCAGGAGCCAGTATTAAAATCTAACTGTAAGTACAGGCCTAAAAATCAATGAATGTGAAAGGCTGGGAAGGTGATGCTAGTGGGTGAGGTCATCCTAGTAAGATGAGACCTTCTAAAAGAGACCTTATGGGAAGGGCAGCCATCACCCAGTACATGGAGAAAGAGAGAGCCACACAGCAGACAGAAGAATGACAACAGGGAGGAACTCAGGAAAGGATGATGTGTCTGGAAGAATTTTGCCCCCAGTGAGAAATTCTGGGCAGCCTGTGATACCAACCAAGTAGCAATCTTTGGGTTTGGCAATTCCAGCTACATATTAGAAAATAGTTTTAACTTTATAAAAAATTCCTTTCTTTTCTAAATATTAATTGTTCTTTTCATTTTTAACATTTTAGGATTTATTTTTAATTATGTGTATATGTGTGTCTATGTGGAGGTATGCACATGAATTCAGGTGTTCTCAAAGGTCAAAAGGGGGCATCAGATCCCTAGAGCTGGAGTTACAGGTGGTTGTGGGTCACCTAACTTGGGTGCTGGGAAATGGACTTGTGTCTTCTGAAGAAATAGTACATACTCTTAGCTGCTGAGCCATCTCTCCAGTCCCCTCATTTGATTAAAAATTTTTTTTATCTTGACAAATACTGTGTATCTTATTCTTTTTACTGAATTGTGAATGACTTGAGGGTAGGGGCCATGATTTATTCACTTTTAATTATAAATTACCACATTTATTGAATGAATAATAAATTGATAGTTACTTGTTTAAGCATCGGGATAAGAAACTTTTAATGTGTTTTGCTAGAAATATCTATAGACTATAGCGCTTAGTTTTCTGTCTTTTAAAATTGAGCATACTGGAATAATAAAATTTTTGCTTGGTTAGACTCACTCAATTATGTGTTTACAGGGTTGTTTGCTCTACATTAATATGACTGCACTGTAGTTGGCAACTCAGTCCCATTTATTTCTTTTCCTTGGATGGAAAACAAAAGGAGGCCATATAGCTGGATTAATATTTGTCAACAATTTTAAGATAATGATTCTTACATGCAAATTATTTGTATAACAGTTTATAATTCTTAATTTATTAATAGAGTCTTCCCAAATTTTGTTGGACAGGGAGAGAAGAGGGATTGGGGATCAAAACTGTGTTATAGGAGCTTTTCCACACATCAAGTTGTGAACGCTTGGACAAACTTTTAAAAATACTGTTATTGTACTTTTCTAAACAAACACATTGGCTATATTTAAAACAAAGAAGTAAATCTGCACATTTTGAGTTGGACTACCAGTGATTACTGCCTGTATTTAGGGTACATAGCAATCTTCCATCTTTGAAATGTATTATCATCTACATTTTTTAATGCAGTGGTCAAATTCATTTGCTGCTGAAGGAATTTAGAAACTGGAAGTCTAACCATCTGTATTTTGTAACAATAAATACATACATAATGAATGAAGTAAGATAAACATTGATCTTATGATTATAGAAGGTATAATATGAAGTTCTTTGATCTAATTTATAACTTGGCTACAAGTTTAAAAGAATTGACCATTTATTTGAAATTTGGCAAGAGACTCAATCAAAACTGTTATAGTAGCATTTTTAAACTCTCCATTTAAGGCTGTATCTAAAAGGCATATATTAATTGTTAAATATATAAAGCTCTGAAATTCTATCATTTTATGAATGTAATGATCTTTAATGTGAGAAAAATATGACTACTATGCTATCTGCTTCTTTCAGACTGTTTTGGCCAAAATCAAAGTGTTATGATTATTTATATCAAGAAGCAGAAACTCTTCTGAAAAATTTTCCAGTTCAAGCTACAATTTCCTTTTATGAAGATTCTGATAGTGAAGATGAAGTTGAGGAGCTGTCCTGTGAAAATCAGTCTAATTAGTTACTTTTGATGATAGTCAAA